GAGAAAGATAAAAAGAGAGAAAGAGAGAGAAAGAGGGAGGGAAAGAAAGAGAGATCTAGAGAGATAAATAGAGAGAGAGAGAGAGATAAGAGGGAGAGAAAGAGATCAAGAGAAAGACAGAAAGATAGAAAAATAAAGGGCGAGAGATATAAAGAGAGAAAACGAGGGAGAGAGATAAAGAGGGAGAGAAAGAGATCAAGAAGAAAGAGAAAAAGAGAGAGAGGAAGATAAAGAAGGAGAGAAAGATACAAAGATAGAGAGGGAGAGAGAGAAAGATAAAGAGGGAGGGAGGGAGATCAAGAGAGAAGTAAAGAGAAAGAGACTAGGCTGATCAGATAGGATCCCCAGTGCCGCTGGCACTTGTAGTTCCCCAGGCTGTATTGATCTGCTCACTATAACAGTATATAATAGCAGTAGATATAATGTGTGTTTAGTACAATTACAGATCTGTGACTCCATAGCCAGAGCAGACAGGATTCTGGGTACAGCTGGTACTTGTATTCCTCCCTAGCTATGATCTCCCCAGACTTAATGAAGTAGCAGATCCAATCCTCCTCTCCCAATCTCCTTCTTCTCCTTGCTGTGCTGTCTCCTGCTGAGGTGTCTGCCTCTCTCTGCTCATACTCGTTTCCATCCCCTCCATACACACAACACTGCCCCCCCAGCAACTGTCATAGCTGCAACCAACCGGCCCCCCCTCTCTTCGTTGCTGTGGATCACTCACCTGTCACCAGGCTCAGCCCAGGAGCAAACCTTCTCTGACACCAAGTTCTGCGCTGACCCGGAGTATCGCAGCCAGTGAGTGAGCTCATACAGTGCTGGCCTTCACCTGGTCACCATCGTCAGTCACCTGCCAGCTGAATTGTGTGTCCCTTCTCCCAGGGAGGGGGTGCCGCCGCCCCCCTCAAAAATGCTGCCCTAAGCAAATGCCTTGTTTGCCTCACGGTGGATATGCCCCCCTGCTTGTATGGGTGGACTCCTCCTTGTATTTCTTACACAAATACAACCATCATGTAACATACTATACAAACATTAGATGTCAACATGCAGGTTTTTTATGACTATTCATGATATGGAAGAACACACCTTGAAACTCAACTGGATGTTTATATGGTGAATGGATTATTATTAGTAAGGCATTGTCCCTATCGTTTCTGTTTAACTTCATGTTCCCTTATTTTTTTCTTCCTGTATGTGTTTTTTTTTTTTTGCAAAATTATTTCATGATAAAAAATATATATTACCTCTAAAAGATCACTTGGGAAATATAATACTGGCAAAAGCTGAATTCCATATACAGTATGTTCTCATAAAAAGTGGCTGATAGCAGATAATATGGCGCAGCAATATATAACTACAGGAAATTTACCCATTCATCATTACTTGATGAACATAGAAAGCACAGTCGTGCCTAAACAAAATTAACACAAATAGAGCACCTGGACCAGATTGCATGCATCTCTGTGTGTGAAGCAATTAGGCTCAATGGCTTATAAACCAATGCATCTTTTTTCTTAGACTCTCTTTTTACCTCCTGGCCTCAAGAGAACAGTTGAAGAACTCAATAAAAGCTAAAGTAATGAAGAATCCTAATAAAATACCAATGTGGGCAGATAAATTACAGATCAAATCTAATGTTGGAAAATGTAGGGATGTGCACCCAGACCTTGGTAATAGTATTGTCCCTGTGTCTGTCTGTCTGTCTGTCTATCTATCTGTCTGTCTGTCTGTCTATCCATCTAGTATCATGATTTCAGCAAAGCAAAACTGGAAAAATACTAAACAATACTATTACTAGCAGTCAGCTTTGGTGAATCAAAAAAAAAAAAAATATATATATATATATATATATATAAATATATATATATTGGGAAGCATCAAATGTGAGATAAAAACCCATGATGATACTTTAGTTTTCAAATTGTTCAAGCATACGGTATTCTCAGGGATGTATCTATGATGAGGCAAACAAGGTGTTTGCCTAGGGTGGCAATTTTTAGGGGGGTTCTCCTGTAGGTGGCTTGGACAGCAGGAGGATCAGTGTGGTGGGGGAGAGCAGTTGTAGAAGGATGCACTGTGTATCTCTCCCTCCAGCAGCTGAAAGCCCGTTTGAGGTTTTCTCCCCTCTCCCTCCTGCCGGTTGTCTGTTGCTGGAGGGGAGAGACAGACCTGGCCGGATGGAGGGGGTGCCCTTGTATTCCTGAGTGGCCCCTCTCCGCTGAGCTCCTTCCCCTACACGCACTCAGAGCCAGGACCAGGGAAAGCCTGGAGCAGGGAGAGAAGTGGTTCAGGAGGTGAGCTGTGTTGTGTTTTCTGGGCTCTCCCTCCTGTCGTCCATGCATCACGGATAGATCGTATGGGACCACACACACACTCTGAGAGGGAAGAGAGAGGAAAGAGAGGGGGAGAGAGAGAGAGGGGGAAGAGAGAAAGAGGGAAGAGAGGGAGGGAGAGAGGGGGGGGGGGGAGAGAGGGGGAGAGGGAGAGAGGGACAAGTGAGAAAAAGGGAGAGGGTAGTGAAGAGAGAGGGAAGAGAGAGAGCAAGAGAAGAGGGAGGAAAAGACAAAGAGAGAGAGAGGGAGAGAGAGAGAGGAAGAGGAGAGAGAGAGCAAGAGAAGAGGGAGGGAAGAGAGAGAGCAAGAGAAGAGGGAGGGAGAGAGAGAGCAAGAGAAGAGAGAGAGGGAGAGAGAGAGAGAGAGAGAGAGGGAAGAGAGAGAAGAGAAAGAGAGAAAGAATAATATATACTTACACACACTTATTGAATTATCTTGCTCTCTCATGGAGACAGGACAGCACAAAATCTAAATACACCACTAGGTATTCTGAGATGTATGGGTTATACTGCTGTCTACAGTATGTAGCCAAGTGCCAGCTACAGTAATAAGAATGCAATGGACATTACCTGCATTGCTGCAACTGTTCCAGTTCTCCCTGCTGTGCTCAGGCTGCTTGCACCATATTCCTGAGCCAAGAAGCAAAGGACAGTGGGATAGTAGTCTTGTGTTCAGCCACATCTGGACTCCTGAACCTTCTTTAGACTACATCTCCCAGCAAGCTGCTAATCAAGAAAGGGAAAGCCTATTTAATGTTCAGCGGGCCCTCCATGGGTCAGAGCTGCCACCCTGCTGCTGGAACTGTGGCCTACTGGGAACCTGTGAGCCATCTCTGTCCCTTCAATGGTGAGCCTGTACCACTGTGCAGCATTAGGAGACCCTCTGTCACTGTTGAGTTCACATCCAACCGACCTATCGCATCCATCCTTCCACTGGCTAGAGTGCAGAATCTGCATCTCTTCCTGTGTGTGCTGACTACCTTCAGGATCTGGTGAGCGGGCTTAAGTCCAGATCCCTTGTAGTATATTGTCTGTAATATATATATATATATATATATATATATATATATATATATATATATATATATTGCAGATATTGAAACACATACTGTTCATTCTGGGACAGGGCAGTGAAAAGACCTCTTTACACATCAAAAGAACTCTTTGCTATGTTAATTTTATGCAAGGTCACCTTGGTATTTGGGGAATAGCCTGTTTACCTAATTAGACATTCCATAGGGTACATTGTATATGTGATTTGACCATACAAGAAGTATTTATTGATGGTAATTAGACTTGAGGGCTTAAACACTATAGTGACCTCAATTGTTATCTTTAGTAACGACAAATTAAGTCTTTTCATGTAAGATCAAAAGTGTTTTGTCAGCCAATCAGAAACACCTCCAGTAAACTATTTCAAGGGAAGTTACTTTGGCTGGGAGAGGAGCTTCTTCCTGTCATTAATATGGAAGCACAGGTATAGGTCATATCTCACATTATTGCATGCATGGAAGCTACCTAGGTGCATATTATAGATTGAACATATGCTGGATGGTGTAGTATCTCCATGTTTGATATGACGTATCTTAAATGGGACTCTGAGGGTTGTTGTTCATTGTAATATCTACAAGTATTCAGCTGGATTTCTGTCATCTGTAACAAATACCTTTATCTGAAATAATGCATCTCTCTGGAAAAGAATCGTTGGACTAATTGCTGCAGGAAAAAGTAATGTTCGTTGTAATATTTACAAGTATTCACCAGGATTTATGTTTTATGGATTGTCGTTGAGCCCATTAACCACTTCCAGACAAGACGCTTTTACCCCCTTCCTGACCAGGGCACAATTTTTAGCTTTCAGCGCTATCACACTTTGAATGACAATTGCGCGGTCATGCAACACTGTACTCAAATTAATTTTTTATCATTTTTTTGAGACAAATAAAACTTTATTTTGGTGGTATTTATTCACCACTGGGATTTTTATTTTTTTTGCTATGTAAATGAAAAAGTCCAAAAATTTGGAAAAAAATGTTTTTTTTTATAACATTTTGCAAATAAATAATATTTCATCATAAATCTTGGCCAAAATGTATTCCGTTATCTTTTTAGTAAAAAAAAAAAAATCCAAATTAGCTTATAACCAAAAATTATAATTTTTAAACATTTTTTTTAATATTTTTATTTTATTTTTTTACTATACTACTTGTGGGGGGGGGGTGATGAAGATTTTTTTTTTTTACACTGCTTTTACACCCATATAGGATGTAAAAGCAATAATTTCTCTTTCTCTCTGTCTGCATTCTTGCAGTCATTGAGAAGTACTGAGTGAGCTGTGATTGGTCACAGCTTGTCACATGGTACAAGCCTGTTTGTGAATAGGCTTGTACCATGTGACCTCTGTGATCATTCACAGATTTCACACGTAGTAAGCAATGATGTCACAAGTGACATCTTGCTTACTACTTTGCATGTGATCACTGATTGGCCAATCAGTGATCACATGATCGGGACCTCGTTTATGATCGTTTATAAACAGCGAGGCTGTTTATAAACGGCCACCCGACCCTGCACTGCCACCGTCCGACCGTTTATATACAACAGCCGGTCGGGAAGTGGTTAAATCTCTCGGACACAACGGATCACCGATCCACGGAAAGAGCCGAGGATGTCGGCTTGATCATGTGGTCAGCTGTGTCCAATCACAGCTGATCACATGTAAACAGGGAAATGCCGGTTATCGGCATTTCTCTCCTCACGAGCTGTCATGCTGACAGCTCGAGAGGAGAGGAGAGCCAGTAATCGGCATTCCTCAGAGGGGACATCTACACTGATCATCAGAGCACTGATGATCAGTGTGCCCTGATGATCAGTGTAGCCCCAGCAGTGCCACCTGTCAGTGTCCATCAGTGCCATGTGTCAGTGCTCATCCATGCCACCTGCCAGTGCCCATCAGTGCCACATTTCAGTACCTAACAGTGCACATCAATGCCACATATCAGTGCCCATCTGAGCTGCCTTTCAGTGTCACCCATCAGTGCCATTCAGTGCCACCTATCAATGCCAGTCAGTGCCACCTATCAGTGCTGCCAATCAGTGCTGCCTATCCGTGCCAGTCAGTGCCGCCTATCAGTGTGCATAAGTGCCGCCTATCAGTGCCCGTCAGTGCCGCCTAACAGTGCCAGTCAGTGCCGCCTAACAGTGCCATATATGAGTGCTGCCTTTCAGTGCCCATCAGTGATGCCTGTCAATGCCCATCAGTGCCTCCTCATCAGTGCCCATCAGTGCCACCTATCAGTGTCCATCAGAGCAGCCTATCAGTGCCCATCACTGCAGCCTCATTAGCACACATCAGTGAAGGAGAAAAATCACTTATTTACAAAATTTTATAACAAAAACTAAGGAAAAACTTTTTTTTTTCCAAAATTTGCAGTGGTTTTTGGTTTGTTTAAGAAAGAATAAAAAAACACAGAGGTGATTAAATATCACCAAAACAAAAAAATGATAAAAATTTGATATGGGTACAGTGTTGCATGACCGCGCAATTGTCATTCAAAGTGTGACAGCGCTGAAAGCTGGAAATTGGCCTGGGCAGGAAGGGGTATAAGTGCCCTGTAGGCATGTGGTTAAAGGGGTATACAACATGTCAGAACCTAGAGTGTTAGAAGGGCTGGGAAGTTCCCAGGATCAGGGCAGCACAAGAGGACAAGCAATATCAAGCAGCCCTTACAGGGGTAGCACCACAAGTATGACCCATATGTCCCAGAAAACTTCTGACTCTTTGTCCGTTAATTAACTCAAAAAGGATTTTACTGTAACTCAAAAATTCTGTTTTTGCTTCTATATAAATCATCTAGAATATGGAGTTCAGCATCTTTGATCCAAGTTAGCAGCTATATATGCAAAATCTTGTGTAATGCTGATTGATTTCCACAACATTCAAACTCATATGACTGCAGATGGTGCCAAAGTTGATCCAAGATCTGCCATAGATATATACTGTACATAAATATATATAGTTGTTAGAACCATGCAATAGGCATCTGATTTCAGAGTCTGAAGTCCTGTACTTAGCTATACAGGTACAATGATATAAAAGTATTACTGTTTTACACTGAGCCTGCCAATGGACATAAAAACAATAGCTGCATGTCCATTCATATAAGTTAGACACTTCATAGCCCTATGTGCGTGTCTTCTTATATTTATAAACTGACTTTTAAACACAAAACCTGCCAGGCATGATGCATAAGTCTTCGCCTTGTATTATGTGCTAGACATTTTATAGCCCAGCACAATGAATGTAAGACTTAGAGCATCCATCATGCTTAATGTTGCAAACAGATATTATAAATGTTCATCCCAAACCTTCACTGTAGTATCTTAAAGCTAACACCGTGCAGGTAGCGAAAAATACAGACTTATGTAGGTATGTGTTCATTGAAATCATTAAGTGCAATTTTAAAAACAACTGGTATATAGGAATTTGATTTGATTACAAGCCCATCTATTCTACAGCAGAGCTCAGATTGGCGGGGGGGGGGGGGGGGGGCATATACTTTAACAAGAAACATAATGACAAACTGAGAAAAAGGATGACATAAACTGTCCTTGGTTCTTTTGGTTTTATTAAGGGGTAGTTAACTTGGATAGGGTTGAGGGGTGTATGGGATGCCCAAGGGAACTGCAAACATGTGGACAAACTCCTTAGCAACTATGTACAGGTCCATAGACAAAAGGGTTTCTTCTCGGAAGAGCTTTCCAGCCCTCCTGGCGTACAACCTCAGACCACAGATGAATTCTCTTCTTCACTCAGCTGCCTGAGGGAATTCCTGGGCAAGGGGACACAGAAACTGCCACGTTAGCAAAGCAGCCCCAGCTGAGGAGCTAGTTGGGTTGGTCACCTGATTGCCCCTCTCCCCTTACCTGGCCCAGGGGGTGTAGGATTACTCACTCAGTCCTCTCCTGTGAGCTTGATGGGTTGGTGGCTGCCTTCAGGCCTTACACTGGGCTGGCTTCTTTCCTGCTCCACAGGTGGTCCTCTCTCAGGGGACGGTGAGGCTGAGAGATCCTCCTTTCCTTCATTGACTTACTCCTCCCAGGCTCTGCTGTAGTTAAGAGGTTGCCTTGGTCACCATGCCCAGCCTCTTGCCAGGGGATTTGCCAAGGTCCCTCAAGTGTGTAAATCTGAACTTTCTCCCCTCCTCTATCCCTCCTCTAGAAAGCTCTCAGGTTTCTGGAGAGGTGGGAGGGCTCCATAAGCTCTAGCCCTCAGAACCTCCTTAGCCTGTCCTGAGGTAACCTCTCTACCTCAGTCCCAGACTGATTCATCCCAGTGTGCTACTCTACTACTTAGCTAGCTCCCCCTGGCTAACTACATTTGTGCATGTTAGTTGTGGTTTGATGCAATGTTCTATACACACTATACATCCCATAGTCCATATTTTATAGTGTCTAGGCTGTCTATCACAGGAGCTAGCAGTGGCAACGCTGCCATCTATTGAAAGGGAATCTGATCACAGCTGGAAAATATAGGGGATTTGGAGATTTGATACCCAGGTACATTCAGCATTTCATTAGTGTGGAGTTATAGGAATGGGCCCTATTTTTGTGTTTGGAGCACCAATCTCATTTTAACCTGTGATTTATTGCTGTACTTGTCTAAACCTTTGAAACTGTGAAAACAATGTAATGTGTTATACAGATTGCATTTTGAATTACTGTTGCATTGGTCTGCACATTTACAGCTGTGGAAACAATTAGATATCAAATATAAACTGCCCTTTTATGGATTCTTTTGAATTTTATTTCACATGCATTTTGTATTGATGTTGTTTTATCTTGGTGATTCACAGTATTTTAATGGAGAGGCTGTATTTAATTTTTAATTATTCAATATTGGCACTATTAGTGCAAATGATTTAAAACTTTAGTGCTTGAGGGAAATAATCTGTTCATTTTTTTATTCATAAATGGTTGTATTCACATTAATTCCCAAATAATTAAAGCTTTGTACATGTCTAAGGTAGAAGTTTGCACAGAAATTTAGACCTACACATTTTTTCTTTATAGATAGATTTAGATGATTTTTTTCTGAGTTTTTATATACTTTTTGTGAATACAGGGGTGGGTTCACATATGTACTTTTAGTGCTGTAATTTATTTGTCGTATCTCATTATTCTTTTGGATATTCTTACAGCAGCATGTCACTAATACATAGATTTAGAGAGAACAAACAAAACCTTATTTTTTTTATTAAATTTGTTTGTTTAGCTGTGTGCCTGGAGTTCATTCATGACATGGAAACTGACAAATAAATGTAATGGTCAGTATCCATGACGGACATTCCATAGCCTAGTGCATCATTCATGTCAGTTGATACTGCAGCCACAGGAGAATAATACGAAGTAGTAAATTTAGTGAAGGGTAGATAGGCAGATTCAGGTGACATGCATACACAGGATTTCACAGGCTACTAGCTTTGTGTTTGTATACATGTTTTTGTAGGGGAGAAGAATCCAAATGGTATAGGAGAGTGAAAGGTGCCTCATCCTTCATGCCTTTGTAATTCTTGTAAACTGACAGTCAAAAAGACAAAATGTGTTGAGCAAAGTTTCTTTTGGCACAAAAGTTTTATTTGTACTTTATAACTGTAGTCATCTTTCTATAAATACGGAGAAGCTTTTGCTGCTGTCTTTCTTGATATTTCACCGTACATATGGTGGAATGACTGTCAGAGCAAACTGACATCAAACACAAAGTGGAGGATCAGAGGCTTGCAGTTTAGTGAATCTGGATCCAAAGGTAGTAAGATATTGTAGACACTTATGAACACTTTTGACACGTTGAATGTCAAGATATTTCAGTAAAGTATGCTGCAGCGAACTGTTCAAGCAATATACCAAGGCAAATAGTTATTTCTTTTAAACTGCTGTAAAAGAAAAAAAAAAATTTAAGAAGATAAGAAAGAGGTGATTGTAGCCGTATTAGTGCATTTGCGACAGAAACAATTGAGTACTGTCCGTGATACTTTTTTTATTTGCACTAACATACAATTTTGAGGACAAGCTTTCGGGGTATGTCCCCTTCTTCAAGGTCTAAGCAGTACTATTAAAAATCACAAAGTTTAAGCAGAATGTTAGAATGGATTGAGAGAAAAAAAAAAAAAAAAAAAAAAGGGCTACAGATAAGATACATCAAAAGTGAGGGGGGGAGGGGGGATACAACACTCACACAGAGGGGGTCAAGTTTTAGCTAATAGATAGTCATAAAGCTGTCGGATAGTGGTTGAGGAATCCCATGTCCAAATTAAGACCGTTATCTTTAGTGTCAAATAGAATTATCATTCTTAGTTCAAATGTTTTTCTTTCCTGGATGGATTTAAATTTTCCTTTCAGAACTAAAATATTGAGGTCTTCCATATTGTGGCCTGGTTGTGAGAAATGGTGTCCTACAGGTGTGCAGAGGTGATCTTCTTTATGTTCCTTGATGGTATGTCTGTGCAAATTCATCCGTGTTTGCAACCTCTGTCCTGTTTCACCAACATAAGATCCTTTGCTGCATTTTCTGCACTGGATAAGGTATACAACATTACTGGAGGTGCAGCTGTATGATCCGGAGATATTGAAGATCCCTTTTGAGTGTCTGACACTTTTTGATGGATTGATTTGGTTGCACAGCTTGCAGCGTTTCTTATTGCAGGGTTTGCTTCCATTATTTGTGGCATCATAATCAGAAGGAAGTTTCCTACTGATTAGTTTATTTCTGAGGTTGGGGGGTTGTCTGAAAGCCAGTATTGGGGGTTGCTGGAATATTTCTTTCAGAGTTCCATCCTCTGTTATGATGGGTTGTAAATCTTTGATTATTTTTCTTATCCCTTCTAGTGCCGGGTTGTATGTAGTTACTAGAGGTACACGGTTGTTTGTTTTTTTCTCTTTGTACTGAAGCAGATTTTCCCTTCGGGTTCTCAAGGCTGTGTTTATGCTGGTGTTGATAGTTTTGTCCTTGTAACCTTTCTTATGGAAGGCGTCTGCTAGTGTCCCAAGATGTTTATCTCTGTCTCTTGGGTCAGAACATACTCGGTGGTATCTGATGGCCTGACTGTGTATGATGGCACGTTTCGTGTGTTGGGGGTGGAAGCTGGAACTGTGGAGGTAGTTGCATCTGTCAGTGGGTT